ATCATCCCCTACCTCTGGAGGATCGAGAGAGGTAAGCATATTCGACCCAATCTTTTTCTTTAATAAACTCACATGAAAAACTGGGTGAATTTTGGAATATGGAGGTAATCGAAGTCTGTAAGCAACTAAACCAATTTTTTCAATGATTTTGTAAGGACCAAAATATCTGGCAGAAAGCTTCAAGTTCTTTCTCAGGGCCAATGAATTTTGTCTATACGGTTGTAATTTCAGGTAAACATCATCTCCCACATGGAATTCTCGTTCAGTACGATGTTTATCTGCTTGCTGTTTCATTCGATTATGAGCTAGCAATAAATTCTCCTTTAAAATTCTATTCAATTCTGTTATGTGTTGCATGATCTCATGAACTGTTTGTACTGGAGTAGTAGTCTGTTGTTGTAATAATGGGGCTTCATAGCCATATAGTGCTTGAAATGGTGTTGTGCCAATGGCAGTGTAGAAATTGGTGTTGTACCACCACTTTGCCTGAGGTAGCCACCTCGCCCATTCTTTTGGCTTCAAAAAACATAGACTGCGTAGGTACTGCTCCAAGCACTGATTAACTCTTTCTGTTTGGCCATCTGTTTCCGGATGGAAGGCGGTACTGAATAGGGTAGATGTCCCCAATTGTTTTAGAAACTCTTTCCAAAACAAACTTGTAAAGATTTTGTCTCTGTCCGATATTGCAATTTGAGGCTGACCATGAAGTCGATAAATGTTATCTAGAAATTTTCGAGCCACTTCCACATCAGTATATGGATGAGAAAGGGATATAAAGTGGCTGTACTTGGTAAATTTATCAACAACCACTAGAATCGTATTAAACTTAGATGAAGTAGGAAGCCCTTCAATAAAGTCCATAGTAATAACAGTCCAAGCTTGAGTAGGAATAGGAAGGGGTTGCAATAGACCTGGTGGAGAAATATGTTCACTCTTCGTTCGTTGGCAGATATCACATTGTTGCACATGAGTAAGAATCATAGATTTTAGCCCAGGCCAATAAAAATAACTCTTGATACGCTGGTAAGTAGCTTGACCACCCGAATGTCCACCCAAGGGAGAATCATGAAAAGTTCTAAGTAATTCTTGCCTCAATGTACCACCAGTCCCAACATATACTTTTCTCTGAAATCGAAGCACTCCTTGAATATATGACCATTGTTGAGGTCCTATAGTTCGTATGGAAAGGTTTGTAATAACTGTTTTAGCCAAATCATCATCAATATAGGTAGCTTTAATTTCCTGCACCCAAGCAGGTGTAATCATAGTGGCAGTGAGTGTATTAAATTCAGACTCCTCTTCAAAACATCTTGATAAAGCATCAGCCACCTTGTTTGAACTTCTTTTTCTGAATTTAATTGTATAATCGAGTCCAAGAAGTTTAGTAAGGCCTCGTTTCTAGATCGTCGTTGTTAATTTATGTTCCAATAAATGTTTGAGTGGCTCATGATCAGTTTTGATAATAAATGGTCGAGCTTCCAAATAATGTCTCCATTTAGTAACAGCCATCAAAATCGCCAAATATTCCTTCTCATAGATAGACATATCTGCATGTCGAACTCCTAATGCTTTACTAAGATAAGCTATAGGACGCCCTTCCTGAGACAAGACAGCTCCAATACCACGAGAACTTGCGTCAGTCTCTAAACAAAAACTCTTTGAAAAATCTGGCAAATCTAAGACAGGGGCTCTGCACATAGCATCCTTCAATAGCTCAAAAGCTTCCTTAGAAGCTGCAGACCAAAGAAAATTGTCCTTTTTCAGCATGTTGGTGAGAGGTCGGCTAAGCTCTCCATAGTTCTTAATAAATTTTCTGTAGTAGCCAGTCAACCCCAAAAATCCACGCAAGGATTTTAAATTTTTAGGAAGCTGTCAATTTCTCATTGCCTCCACTTTAGATGGGTCTGTGGCAACTCCATTAGAAGAAATAATGTGCCCAAAGTATTCAACCTGCTGCTGTCCAAAAAAACACTTTTCCCTCCTTGCAAAAAGCTGATTAGTTTTAAGAATTTGCAGAACCAATTCCAAGTGATGCACATGGTCTTCTAAAGAAGGACTATAAATTAAAATATCATCAAAAAATACCAAAACGAACTTCCGCAAATATTGGCCAAAGATATCATTCATTAAATATTGAAATGTGGTTGGTGTATTTGTTAAGCCGAATGGCATTACCTTAAACTCAAAGTGGCCGTGATGAGTTCGAAATGCTGTCTTATGGACATCATCTTTCTTGATGAGGATCTGCCAATATCCCGATCGTAAATCAATTTTTGAAAAAAAATTTGACCCTGTCAACTCATCCAAAAGACACTCAATTACAGGAATAGGAAATTTTTTCTTGACTGTCCATTGGTTGAGTTGTCGATAATCGACACAAAACCTCCAAGAACCATCCTTCTTCTTAACCAGCAAACATGGAGAAGCAAACGGACTCTTACTGGTCTGGATAATGGAAACAACTAATAATTCCTTAACCTATTTTTCAACCTCAGATTTCTGCTGATAAGGAAAATGATATGGTCTCAAATTAATTGGTGGAGCATCAGCTTTAAGAACAATAGCATGATCATGGTTTCGAACCGGAGGTAGTCCTTTTGGTTCCTCAAAAACTTGCTGATAAGCTTCCAGTAAGGGCTGAAAAATAAGTGGAACTTCCTGAGAATTGACTTCTGCACTGAACCAATAGAATTCTCCAATAACCTCGATTTGTTTTGAGGTCAATTTCTGCATCTTGTCTCCCGAAATCATCTTAACAGAAAGAATTCGATGACCACCTTGCAATGAAATAAGATTCCCATTTTTCTTGAAAGTTAATGTCATCTCATTGAAATCCAAGGTAATAGGGCTGAATTTCTTCATCCAATCAACCCCCAAAACCATATCACTTCCCCCCATTTGTAGTACTCTGAAATCATGTACAAAGCCATATCCTTGCATATGCCATGTAAACTGATTACTTCTCGATGTACTGTGAAGTCGTTCCCCACTAGCCACAGTGATGACTAAAGGGTTAGTTTGTACTACCTCCATTCCTTCCTTTGCCCATCGTGGAGTAATAAAGCTATGGGTACTCCCACTATCCACCAAGATATTCAAAAGTTTAGTATTAACAGTACCTTGTATTCTAATGGTGCTGTGACCAGCAGTACCATTTAGAGCATTAATAGAGATTTCTAGAGCTCCATCATCATGTTCACTCTCTTGTAATAGCTGTTGTTGTATGTGATTGTCTTGATTTAAAGGAGGAACATCAGAGTCGTGGCCTTCATCCTCCACCATCATGTTCAATTGTTTCTGTTTACATTGATGCCCAGGGCCATATTTGTCTCCATATTTAAAACAGAGTCCATTAGCTCTTCGATAATCCACCAATTGTCGTTTAGCAGTGGTTTGAGGTTGCAAAAGTCTAGGGTTCATCGTCGGAGAAATCCCTTGAATTCTCGTAGGTGGCAGAACAAAATTTGACTTAAAAACGGGTCGCCCTTTTCTATTTTCAACTTCCATGGATAACTCATATATCTTAGCCTTTCTACCAGCTTCAATAACTGTTTTAGGCTCAAGAACTTTAACTTTGTGCTTGAGCTCGTCTTTCAACCCACTTAAAAAGCAAGAAACAAAGTACTCCTCCCCCAATCCAGGATTAATTTAAAGAATAAAAGGTTGAAGTTCTTCAAATTTATCCTCATACTCTTCCACAGAAGACGTTTGAGTTAATTTGTTAAACTCATCTATAACATCAATATACCCTTTATTATAAAACCTGTGGGTAATGTCTTCCACGAATTCATGCCAAGAGACTCAGTTTTTCTTCATAACATAGCCATCAAACCAAATCTCAGCCCTACCGGTTAGATACATAGCAGCCACTTCCAGCTTCTGACTGTCCGGTATAGAAAATATAGAAAAATATTTGTCACACTTCCGCACCCAACTCCTTGGGTTACAGCCATAAAAAATGGAAGTTCTATTTTTGGTCTAGGAGTAAACATATCCATATTATTGGCTGTATGGTTTTGTTCCATTAATTCAGAACATTTGAGGACAGATAGTTCCCCAAGTGCTGGTGGATTTCCCCCTAATTTTAATTTATGCACTGTAGAAGGCACCTTCGAGTTATCTCCAGGAAATATAGGTTTTGAAGCTAAAATCCCAGGTTTCATCGGTTGAAATGAATATTTCTCTCGGTCATCAATAACAGTTACTTGTAAAGGTGTTTTCCCGATTACCTGTGGTTGAGCTTTTGTCATATTGTTTAGATTTGTTGCAGGTGAAGATTGACCCGATTCATCTCCAGCTTTCTGCATTAGACTCAAGAGCTGTTGCAAATAACCATTAGTCTCATTCGTTGTCTTCTCCAAAGATTCCAATCGTTGCTCCCATTCCAACTTTTGGTTGACCCACCAAACAGGAACTTCTACATTGAGAGAGCTGTCAGGATCATCCATGGTATCTTTGGTTTGCTCGGTCTGTCCCATCTTGTGCGTCTTCTTAGTCTTTCCCAGCTTGAAAAAAAAAATTTGGATCAAATTTAGCCTAGCTCTGAATACCAATTGTTATGTTTAGGTCAGAAAGGATTAAGAATTTAGAAGAAGAAGGAAAAGGAATTCAGAATTTTCATTAGATATTTTTTCAAGATTTTCCAGTACACTCCATTCTATTTTATGCTGTACATTGTACCATTTCCATTACTTCCTCCAACTGCATTGGATTTGCTTACCACCAGATCAGCCTTAGTTAATTCAGTGGGTCAGCTTGCTCTAAGCCCATTTCCTCAACGCTAAGTCTTGTGTCATTTTGACTGCACATTCCTTCAACCGGTTCTTTAATCCCCAATTCTTTAATTTCCATCTCTTTTAGCCCTAATTTCATCGTACTCACTTCCAATTCCTTTTCTATTTTCGATTTCTCCGTCCCAACCATGACACATGGAATATGAAAACTCAAAATAGATGCGAATGGGGGGAGGAAAAGGAAAAAATGCTAGTAGATCGAGGCTCTTAAGTAGATTTTCCAGCAGTGCAGCTTCGCAAGCTGTGATTGCATGAATCAGTGATGGGATTCTGCTCTGAGTTTACTGTTGATTTACAAGAAAAGTTTTTATTACTTCTCAAGTTGATTCCATTATTGGGAACCATAATTTCTCTTGGAACAGAAAATGTTGTTACGATGCTTTTACCTGCAGATGTAAAATTATGTAACCTTGGACTTTCCACCACAGAACCAGATTCAACCGTGCTTTCCAAGAGAAGGTCATTACTCTTATAGTTCATCTTCTGGCCACAGTCATCTTGTAGTATCGAAAACTGAAAGGATAATGAAGGTAAATTATTGAAGCAAGGCAGTTAATTGAGATAAAACTAATGTGAATAAGGCAAAAGCAGTTTGTCTCTGACCTGATGAGAAGAATTATGTCCTTCTTCTGACTGTTGTGGGAATGGACATTGCTTCCACATTCCCACTTGTGGATGACAGCCATGCAAACTCCTAGAATAATGCAACTGCTTAACAAATGGTTCTTCTAAGAAATCAAGATAAGAGTTGTGCTTCTCATTTGTCCAAACCATAGTTTGTCCCTGCTACGTTAAAAATTAAAATACAAAAGGAAAATATTAAAGCTGAACCACAAGGAAAAGAGAGCTCTAAAATAAAGAGAAAATTTGAATATAACACATTGCATGCAGGGGGAAAATTAAAGCATTTATATACGACTAATCAACAAGGAAAAATGGTTTCCTACAACAAGAAGAGAATCTTTAACTTACCATCCAATCCACAGGGACCCCAAACAGCTGAAGTATGATTCTGCTAGGTTCTACCAAAACCATGCTGACATGTTTGGATTTCTCACATAGATTTTATTATAGGAAACAGATGGAAAAAGGCGCTGAAAAATACTTAAGTCTAGTTTAAAAGAACTAGTTGGTGCCAAGAGGAAATTGCAATTCTAAGGAAAAGGAATCCAAAACTGCAATGCTAAATGCTATATCAGGAACTTGGAGATGACAGGATAATAAAAGCTGCTGCTGAGAAATCTATTGATAGAAAACAATGAACAAACAAGACAAACTTAAGGCCATCTTATAGGGAACCTAACCACCTCCAGCATAACTCAAACTTATATACTAAATTGAATAAAGAAACGGAGGTCTTGTACATAAATAGAGGGCACCAGGGCATGCTGAAAACCTAAAGGGAACTAGGTCCCAATAGTCATAAACAACAAGTATATAATAGAGTCATAAGCTATACATTAGTCATCATAATACTCTATTAGTATGTACCTTGTCTTTATCAAAAGGGAAAACAAGAGATCTCTGTAACAAGCAATGATCCATAGAAATAGCATGGCGATGGAAGAGGGCCAACTAAAACAAGTATAATAATCACTTATTCTAAGTGAAAATCCTCTACTTCCATTTATGATGTCTTAATACCCCTTGTGAATGAAAAGCTTAGTCTCGGAAAAAGAGAATGGTGTATAGGCTATTTTTCCAAATCCTAACATTTAGCCTCAGTATGTCATATAAACAAGAAAGAGGAATATCCCAGATCATTGACCCAACCTTCTGCCTCAATCTACCATTTTATTTGCATACCTGATAAGAAAGATGACATATATGTCCAATGGTAAATGTCTAATATAAACTTAAGATTTTACTTTTAAAAAAGTTATTCTAACATAAAAGAACAGGAAAGTGTAACAAAACTACCTACCACTGACCAATCTCGAAATGTAACCAATTCTAACTATAACTGGAAAATAGACTTCAAAAACTACATACAGCCTTCTATTCCACTATCAAATTATCAGAAACAAGATCTTTTTGAAAGAAAAAGAAAAACAAACTCTTCACAAATTAAGCCACCTTGATTATCCATATCATCTTATAGAGGGAACAAGGGTAGCTATGTCCTCTCAGGTTCATTTGGTATTGCTATAGAAATTACGACCAGGTGAAAAGCCCCTGTAACACCCCAACTCGTACCCGACCCGAATACGAGTCCGAGGTGTCACATTGACTTTTAAAACCTTGACACTTAAAGAAAATTCCCGGGAAATTTAAAACTTTATTTAAAACAAAATACTTTAATATACATAGAAGAGACTACAAAATACAAACTCGATCAGAGTACTCATAATTAACGACTTATTACATGCCAACACTCTATACACAACAAAATACATACTTTGTCGATTACTTCTGATCTGATCTTCTAGTAAAAATACTATCCTTGCCACTTCTATTCTTGCTCTTCACGTTTCTTGGTACCTACGTGTAAATCACTTACACGCTAAGTCATAGACTTAGTGAGGCAATAAATAAATATGTAACAATAGTTTCATGAATATGCATTCTTACCATTTGATCATGATATTTCAATATGCATGGATATATTTCCTATGACATATATAACCAAGTCATGCACACATGAAACTTACCTTTATGCATCACTTTCACTTTAATTTATATTTCAATTGTCGTTGTTGTTGCCCATGTATATTATTGAGAATAGAGGTATGTGAGTATATTGAGGTTGTGCACCAATGTTGTCACCACAGCTCGTATAAATTCCCTCATGGGGCACCGAACATTTGTTCAGTATTCGTCCTGAAGGACTGCTATATATGTCACGTAGGACCACTACGTCCCGAAGGACTACGTCCCGAAGGACTACGTCCCGAAGGACTACAATACCCTCGACTCTTGGCATGCCAACTATACCTATAACTCTCGTTTCATATACTATGGGCATTTACGATGAATACTTTTCTCATCACTTGTTCTTTCTTTTCTGTCACATACCACATGTATGTGTACCATGTATTTCATATCATATCACATGTATCATGTATTGCATATTCATATATCATTTCATATATTCACATAACTTATCTTATTTCACATTGATCATGTCTCATAGCATATATCACATATGCATATAATCATGTATATCATATCATATATCTTATGTTTCATGCTCTTATGTCTATGCATATCATATAACATATATAATAACCTATACCCATTTCATGTATTCATGCATATATAAGAATCACAAATCAATTAACATTTTAAGAGTTACTTTTTACCATAGTAACTCCATCACTAGCTCATCGCAAGCCAATGTTCAATAATATAAGTACAATTAAAATTGCACTTACCTTAGCCTTGCTTTGATTCGATTATAATCCTTTGATTATTCCGGAACTTGTTTAGGCTCAATATCTACATAAATATAACATTTCAAAACAACTAGCAGAAGCCTAAACCTTAAACTTGATGTTAACAACTTAAGCCAGATTATTGAACCCAATTTTATTTTTCCTTTAGGGGGGAATCGATACCCCCTGGACATACTGGAAATTTTCTCGTTCTAGAAGGGGAATCGATTCCCCTTCATAGGGTATCGGTTCCCTATGCCCAGAAATTGTATTTTAAGCCCGAAAATCATCAATTTTCACTTAATTCTTCTATTTTAAACCCCTATCATGTCATTAAACTCAACTACCATTACTTAAACCAACTTATATCCATGAAAATCATCTATAACTTCAAAATCCCATTCTTCACATGTAATTCAAGAATCATACTCAAATTTCAATATGTTCTAAATACCATTCTAACACTTCATATTCCTTAAATAACATGATGACAAGTCAAATTTAACTTCAAATTCAACTTATCAACTCTTTTCCATGATTTCATATAAAAACTCATTTTCTTAAATCTCTTATAACTTCTTCATCTTTTTGTTTTAGAACAAATTAAGCTTTCCTTAAGCTTAATTATCATCTAGTGATCATAACCCAACTTTTAAAACAACAAATAACCAAGAAAATAGAAAACTCACCTTTGCTGTGGCTTTCTCTCGTATGGAAGAACAAAGAGGAGAAGAAGAGATATTCTTCTTATCCCTTTCCCCCGTATATATCCTCAACATAATACAATTTAATCATTTAATGGTTAAATAACCATTTTGCCCTTAAATTCTTTTAATAACTACTAACAATCCTTCTAGATAAATCATTGAATTATCCAATTATTCTACTTTAATCACCAAATTTTGAAGTTTTACAATTTAGTCACTAACCCGTATTTTGGGATGTTACAAATCTCTCCCCCTTAAAAAAATTCGTCCTCGAATTTTCATTGTACAAAGAGATGGGGATATTGAATCTTCATGTCCTCTTCACGTTCCCACGTCGCTTCTTCCACCTTGTGATTTCTCCACAACACTTTGACTAATGGAATAGTCTTGTTCCTTAATTGCTTTACTTCGTGAGCCAATATTTGAACAGGTTCTTCCTCATAAGTCAAATCTGATTGAACCTCGATCTCTTCGGTAGTCACTATATGAGATGGATCGGATCGATATTTATTAAGCATGGAGACATGAAAGACGTTGTGAATTTTCTCCATTTCAGGTGGCAAAGCTAATTGATATGCCACTGGTCCTACTCTCTTAACGATTTCATATGGTCCAATAAACCGAGGACTCAATTTTCCTTTACGTCCAAATCTCAATACTTTCTTCCACGGAGACACTTTCAAGAACACTTTATCTCCGATTTGAAACTTAATTTCTTTCCTTTTTAAATCAACATATGATTTCTGTCTATCAGCTGCAGCTTTTAAATTATTCTTAATAACTTGGACTTTCTCTTCCATTTCCTGAATCAACTCAAGACCAATAGCTTCTCTATCCTTAAGTTCATACCAATTCAAGGGTGTACGACATCTTCTCCCATATAAAGTTTCATAGGGAGCCATTTTGATGCTTGACTGATAACTATTGTTGTATGCAAATTCAGCAAGTGGCAAATATTTTTCCCATGATCCTTTAAATTCAATAACACAAGCTCTTAACATATCCTCCAGAATTTGGATAGTTCGCTCAGACTGACCATCTGTCTGAGGATGAAACGCTGTGCTAAAATTCAGTCTTGCCCAATGATCCATGTAAAGACTTCCAAAATCGTGACGTGAATCTAGGATCCCGATCAGAAACTATGGAAACAGGTACACCATGTAACCGTATAATCTCTCTGATATACAACTCAGCATATTTATCTATAGAGAAATCAGTTCGTACCGGAATAAAATGAGCTGACTTAGTCAACCTGTCTACAATCACCCATATTGAATCTCTTTTGTTCGGAGTTAAAGGCAACCCCGTCACAAAATCCATTGTTACATTCTCCCATTTCCATTGAGGAATTGAAATTGATTGTAACAGTCTCGACGGAACCTGATGCTCAGCTTTAACTTGCTGACAAATCAAACATTTTGATACAAATTCCGTAATGTCTTTCTTCATTACCGGCCACCAATATCGACTCTTGAGATCCATATACATTTTGTTTCCTCCTGGATGCATCGTTAATGGACTACAGTGAGCTTCCATTAATAAATCATTCTTTAGTTCATTAACATCTGGAATCACTAGCCTCCCTTGATAATATAGGTTCCCATTAGTTTTCATCTCATAATCTGTATATTCTCCATTCTTTATTTGCTGCAACTTCTTTGAACACTTTTCATCTTTGGCTTGCAATTCTTTAATTCGATCTAACCATGATGGTTTGATAGTTAATTCCGCACAAATTGCACCATCTCCGCCTAATGATAGTTTAGCATCCATAGTTCGTAAGGCTGCAAACGTCTTTCGACTTAAGGCATCCGCTACCACGTTTGCTTTTCCGGGATGAAAATCAATCACAACATCATAATCCTTGAGAAATTCTACCCATCTTCTCTGTCTTAAGTTCAACTCTTTCTAGGTCATCAAGTACTTTAAACTCTTGTGATCTGTATACAAGTAGCATTTTTCACCATATAAGTAGTGACGCCAGATCTTAAGAGCAAACACTACTGCAGCCATCTCCAGATCGTGTGTCGGATAATTCTTCTCATGCGGCTTTAATTGCCGTGAAGCATAGGCCACCACCTTGCCTTCTTGCATTAACACACATCCCAAGCCATTGTGAGACGCATCACTATACACTACAAAATCCTTGCCAGACTCAGGTTGAACTAATACTGGAGCTTCTGTCAAAATCTTCTTTAACTTTTCAAAACTCTCTTGGCATTCTTGAGTCCAAGTAAATTTTACTTCCTTTCTCAGCAGCTTAGTTAGGGGGTAATGCTATTATTGAAAAGTTTTTAACAAACCTTCGATAATAACCAGCTAACCCCAGAAAACTTCGGACTTCTGACACATTCCTTGGAACTTCCCACTCCAGAATAGCTTTAATCTTTTGAGGATCCACTCGAACTCCTTCTGCAGAAATTACATGTCCAAGAAATGTCACTTCATTCAACCAGAATTCACATTTAGAGAATTTACCATAAAGCTTCTTATCTCGTAAATTCTACAAGACAGTCCTCAAATGAGAACTATGCTCTTCCTCTGACTTTGAATATATTAAAAATATCATTAATGAAAACCACTACGAACTGATCCAAATAGGATTGAAAAATTATGTTCATTAAATCCATGAAAGCAGCTGGTGCATTCGTAACTCCAAAAGGCATTACAATAAACTCATAGTGACCATATCTTGTTCTAAACGCCGTCTTTGGAACATCTTTCTCTTGAATCTTTAATTGATTAGAACCCGAACGTAGATCGATTTTTAAGAACACTGAAGCTCCCTTTAATT